TCAGACTCCCATCTTCAATGATCTCTAGGCTTTGTCTCCCACCTCTGCAAGAGGAAAACAAAAAGTCAGATTTACAAGAGTTCAGCAGATGTCCCTGGGGCAGCTGAAAGCTTTACAACTTACTAGTTTAACTCTGAATTTCTGTTTTCACTTTGATTTTGGCTTCTGAAACTTCTTACTCAGCCCAGTGACACCTGGAAAAAAGTTTGGGTTGAGTCATTTATACATTTTTAATTGTTGCTGCAGAAGGATTGCCTGAGTATGTGGCCCACTATACCGTTGGGAAAGGGAGTTGATTTATTATTTCTTAAAAACATTTCCTCTAGTCCATCTCTTTCCTCCTTTTCCTCTGGAACTCTTATCATTTGCACATTAGAGCTTCTGGATCACTCCTCTAAGTCCTGTCCTTCCTCTTAGAATTTCTAACTCTCTAAACTTTTCCTCTGGGTTTTGAGATATTTCTTTCATTTTATCTTCTAGGTCTCTCATTTTGTTTTCCACCGTTCACAATTGCTACCATTCTCTGTTCTATTAACTTTTTAAAAAATCATGATTAACTCTTTGGAAGAATGTCTTTTTATGCTATGAATAATTCTAAGGTGGCATGATGATGATGGTGGTGGTGTCGGTGGTGATGGTGATGTAATGTTTCCATCTATTTACCACTATTTGAGATATTCTCAGGCGTCCTCAAACTACGGCCCATGGGCCACATGCAGCCTGCCTAAGACATTTATCTGGCCCACTGGGTGTTTTTGCTGCCGCTGCCTGTCCTGCTTAGCAGCCCACTCATCCTGGGGCCCGCACTCTGAGGGACAGTGAATTGGCCCCTTGTTCAGAAAGTTTGAGGACCCCTGTTCTACATTATCATAGTCTCTCTGGCACCTGGATCTCTTTGAGTCTATTTAAATTTTCTTTTTCTTACTCATCACTCATTGACTTTCAGCCTTTAGAGCCCCTTATGCACTAGAGAAAGAATAAAAGGCAAAGTGTTGCCCCTTTCATAAATGCAAAGAGAAGCTCCCAGGTCTCAGCAGTTGCCCTGGTTGATAAGCTCTCATGCTTAGAGGTGGGGGAAATTCCAGTCCTCTTATCCCATGCAGCTCTCCCATATTCTTCCCAGGCCAGAGAAGCCCTACTAGGACCTCACAAGGAGACTGTACCTATAGGACCCAAGGGGATCCTGGGCTCATCCCAGACCTCTGAGCTGCTAATCCCCTCACTTCCATCTAGCTGGAGAGGGAGAGAGTCCCATGGCTGCTCCCTTTCCTAGAGATTCCAAGCGAGCTCCCTGTTTCACACTTATGTTCCAGGTCCTGCCATCAGACCTTCCCTCCTGGCTGCTTAGGAGGTGGAATTGAACACAAGTTGAGAGGAGCATTCAGTCCACCCCTCCTGCCCTTCTAATAATTTTTATATATATGATTGCCCAGGAAAACATGTCTGTGGGTCATCTGATCACAAATTTCAATCTTGTGTATTCTTGTTAGAAATTGTAAGTTTTTGGCTCGGCGTCTGTGGCTCAAGCGGCTA